ATTAAGACGCCTGCTCCTTGGGAGGAAAGCGATAGCAAACCTAAACAGCATGATAAAAAGTAGAGACATCACCCTGCCAACCAAAGTCCGCATGGTCAAAGCAATGGTATTCCCAGTAGTCATGTATGGCTGCGAGAGTTGGACTATAAGGAAGGCCGAGCGCCGAAGAATAGATTCTTTTGAACTATGGTGCTAGAGAAGACTCTTGAGAGTCCCTTGGACTGCAAGAAGATCAAATCAGTCAATCCTAAAAGAAATCAACCCTGACTGTTCCCTGGAAGGCCAGATAATGAAACTGAAGCTCAAATACTTTGGCTACCAAATGAGAAGGGAGCACTCACTGGAGAAGACCCTGATGCTGGGAAAGATTGAAGGTCAAAGAAGACGGGACGGCAAAGGATGAGATGGTTACACAGTGTCATAGATGCAACGAACATGAAGTTGAGCAAACTTCAGAGGACGGCGGAAGACCGGAAGGCCTGGCGTTATCTGGTCCATGGGGTCGTGAAGAGTCAGACTCGACTGTGCGACTGAACAACAACAACAACAACAAAGAACATAAAAACATAAGAGAAGCCAATGTTGGATCAGGCCAATGGCCCATCCAGTCCAACACTCTGTGTCACACAGTGGCCAAAAATACCAGGCGCCATCAGGAGTCCACCAGTGGGGCTAGGACACTAGAAGCCCTCCCACTGTTGCCCCCCCCCAAGCACCAAGAATACAGAGCATCACTTGCCCCAGACTGAGAGTTCTTGTTGTTTGAAAGGCATTCATATTGTCCGGCAGCCATATTCTCTGTGTTAGTTTAAAAAAACCCCAAAGCACGATACGAAACTTCTAGTTAGAATACGGTTGCCAGCCTTCAGGTGGGGCCTGCAGATCTCCTGGAATTACAACTGATTTCCAGACAACAGAGATCAGTTCCCCTAGAGATAATGGCTGCTTTGGAGGGTGGACTGTATAGTATTGTATCCTGGTGAGGTCCCTCCCCAAACCATGCCCTCCTGAAGCCCCACCCCCAAATCTCGAGGTATTTCCCAACCTGACGTTGGCAACCCTAAGTTAGAAGTCCGTTCCATAAAGCTCTAGTGAGAACTGTGTCTGTTGGTTTTGTACACACTAACCTGTTCAGTGTGTGTGTGTTAGAGATAGAGATGTAAAATTTCCAGAAATTTTGAAGCTCGGAAAAAACCCGTTTTTTCCCCGGAAAAAACGGAAATTTTTGGAAAAATTGAAAAAATGCTACATTAGCATTTCTTTTGTCTTTTCTAGATTGAAAGTCATTCTGTTACTTTAGGAACATAAAATATGACTATGGACATTTTTACTTGGCATGAAATTATCACAACTAGCATATTAAAAATATAGAGTATCCAAACAATTATTACAAACAGAATACCCACCCACATGCAAAAACAAAACTGAAACCTTTTTATTTTCTTCTGACAATAGCACCTCCTAAAGGAAGAAATGCATCTTGTTCTTGCATTGGAGAGTTCAGTTTGTAACCTAGGACTGGCTTGTCCTCAGTGCACAGAAATTAGATCAATCTGATACCATATATATATATTTTAGAAATGATTTGGAAAATATTTGAACACCTTGTCTAAAAATATTTTATTCATCATGTTAAAATAAGACGTTCCATAATCATTTTTTTTCTTTTTCCAATTTTTCAAATTTTTCGGAAAAAAACAAAAAGGCTTCAGGGAAAACACCTGTTTCCCCCCCCGAATTTTTCTGGTTTTTTCCCGGGCCTTCACATCTCTAGTTAGAGAGAAGGAAAACTCTAAGACTCCATTGAGATGCGACACTGTGGTGGTGTTCAGGTCAAAAAAATCCATTGCATGGGAGCATGTGTAGGTGCCACTGCAGCAGAACCTCTGATAGACCCAGATTCAATATCGGATGAACATCAGGTGTAACATTCAGAGGAAAGCAAAAAGTCATAATGGAGCTCAAGAGCGAGGGCCTCGTTGGGTAGGCAGGAACGTTAGTCCAAGAACGGGGGGGGGGGGGGGGGAAAAAGAGGTTTTCTAGGCGAGGGTTTACTGAATCGCATAGGAACCTGAATTCTGTTTTAACAACTCATTTTGTCAAGGGCCTTTTAGAGGGGTTAGTTGCAGCCTCCCCTTCCACAAGTCCTACAGGTGGCTTCCAGTGCTGGGGGGGGGGGGCTCATTTCCTCGTGGCAGTCCTTGACCCCAGCTGCTGCTCAGTAGGGCAGGGGGAGGGGGAAATAAGCAAAAAAACAAGCCAACCCACTGTTGTAGCCATGGTGTAATGTCATTTCTGTGGCAAACCTGGAAGTGACATCATGCCACCGACATGATGGCCGGCCACCCTCCCCGTCCCCCAGTCTGTCTCTGGAGAGCGGCCATGGACTGGCAACCCGATTGGGGACCCTGGATTAGGCTCCCACTCTGAATGCTAGAAGGCTGGATTTGAGACCTGGTTCTGTTGCAGTTGTTGCACGCACGTAGGAGCTCTTCTTGATGCTGTGTACATTATGGACTGGAAGCTAGGGTTGCAAGCTCCAGGTTGGGAAATACTTGGAGATTTTGGGGGTGGAGCCTGAGGAGGGTGGGGTTTGGAGAGGGGAGGGACTTCAGTGGGGTATAACGACAGAGTCCACCTTCCAAAGTGGCCATTTTCTCCAGGTGGACTGATCTCTTTCGCCTGGAGATCAGTTGGAATCTCAAGTGATCTCCAGCCGTCACCTGGGGATTGGCAGCCCTGCTGGAAGCCTGATAGGTCAGGGTTAGTTATAAAGCAATCTAAAATGTGTCTCTAGCCCAGGGAATCA